CTTGGCAATTACTGCGGAAAAAAAACCACACCGTGAGTCAAAAAATCCCAACGTGTACAATTGTAATAATATGTGTGTGTGTATATATATATATATATATATATATATATATATATATATATATATATATATATATATATATATATATATAGATACACCTAGTGAGCCAGACAAAACTACCTAGGTTTCACCTAAACGGATAAATATGTGTTTCTCTTTGCCTCGTTAGCCAAACTTTCCCTGACGATCCGTTTAGGTGAAACCTAGGTAGGTTTGTCTGGCTCACTAGGTGTATCTAGGTCTGCTCTACGGTTGTATTGAGCTCTTTTGTTAGTTAGTTTACTCGTATCTGGTTTTTTTCTTTGGGCTTCAGACCTGCATCTGTGCGATTTTTTTGTCGGCAGAAGTTCATGTTTGTAGCTCTTTCTTTTTTTTTTTAAACCTTTTTTTCCCTCGAGATTGATTTGATTAGCAAATCAAAAATTCGAGGGTTTTTCGAAACGAGTCTAGTTATCTCTCTCTCTCTCTCTCTCTCTCTCTCTCTATATATATATATATATATATATATATATATATATATATGTACGTTTTTATGTATATTTATGTATTTAGGCAGAAATCTTTCTTTCATGCACATTTCATTGAATATGACAATGTGCTTTAATTTAGTTTTTTATACAATTTCTCACGTGATCTATCTATCTATCTATCTATCTATCTATCTATCTATCTATCTATCTATCCTCTCTCTCTCTCTCTCTCTCTATATATATATATATATATATATATATATATATATATATAAAAGGCTCAAACACTAATAATAGTGTTAAAATACATGGTAACTAAAATGTTTTTATTTTTTGTCATTTTTAACTATTATATTATTTTTTTCTTTATTAATAATTACTTATTATTAATTCATTGTTATTATTTTATTTTCGCTATAATTATGTTTGTATTATTCATTTGTTTGATTTTTACTATATTTCTAGCATGAGGAATGCTCCTAAAGTAATACCTTTTATTTATTTCAACGGAAACTGCACTAAATACAAAGGACATAATAAAACATGGATCACATTTTCAGCTATAAAAATACTATTTTTCCATAAATTCTCAACAATTATGTCTTTTTACTAGTGATGAAATAGAGCCGTTCATTTCGTGGATTAAAAGCTGTGGAGAGCCGCACGAATTTTTGCTTGTCACATTTGTCACAGTTTACCGTTGTCAAAACGCATTACCTATCACCTAACTGTGATAGTCAATACTGTAATAATTCGTTCATCAACTTTCGAAGAATGTTAGTACAATTTTTTCTGCATGGAGGAATTCAATGACACAGAACTATTTTATGTCAGACGTCATTTTGCCAAATTGCCTCTCAGTTTGCAATGAAAAAGTAAAGAATGGCTTATTGGTGTGAAGATTCAATTTTTACTGCCATATCATCAAAATCCGACTCTGCCGTCGTGGGACGTGGAGGCATTATATTCGGAGCGTCTCTCATAATTTATTTTTTTCTTTTTAATTTAGTGAACGTTCTGTTTGCACTGGAGGAAATGAACAAAAGTTAAAAAAGGAAATAAGAAACAAAAATCTTCAACCGATTTAAATTTTAGTTGTGTAATTTCAGGTTACTTAGTGTCGTGAAAAAAAGAAATCTTTGATTTACGGTGAGTTCCACAGGTAAATAAAAAAAAAGTTTCGTTTCGAAATCGCCTATAGTCACTGCCATTCCTGGGGATTCGAAACATTTTTCACGTTAAATAAGTATATACCCCACCTCTCTCTCAAAGATTTACTTTAATGTACCCATGCTGCGTGATCTTTACTGACCTTAGTTAATGAATTTAAATTCCTCCAATCTTGTCACCGGGTTGGCAAGTGATTTGAGTTTAAACATAAATTTAAGAAGAAAAAATATGTTGGTTCTTTCTTTTACACATATATTAAAGGAAAATAAATTAAATTCATTTTGTACATTTTAGAAAAAGCTATTTGATCTGAACGCTAGCAACGGCATGTGATCATGTATGTATTGTGTGCATATATGGGCACAGATGTTCATGTATGTGAGAATGTGACATTGCGAATGTATATCTGTATCATAGGAACATCAGTGAGACATTTTTTTCTCTCAGAATCGCAGTAATTAGCTTAGCTCATACGACAACCATTTTTAAAATTCGCTCGTAGCTATCATCTCGGGGGGGGAGAATAGAAAATGTTATTTATCCGATATCACAAATCTCAACAGTGAGCAATGATCATTAATGAGAATTCTTTTCTCCTCTTTTCGAAACCAGATGCTTGCCCCACTTTTTTTTTCGTATATGTAACGTACCTTTTCTATAAATATATTTTCATGGTAATTGGTCTGATGAACTTTCTTCTATGGTACCTAGACTTTACGAATGTAAGCGCAGTACTAGATTGGCGGCAAGGTCTCATCATTTTACAGTTGAAATGGCTACATGTAACCGTAAGTTCTATATTAACAGTTTCTTCTCTCGTATTTCTCGCTTTTGGAATTCTCTTCCGTCTTCTTACTTATCAGTCAACACTGATCTTCAAAAATCTAAAAATTGCCTTGCTTGCAGTGAAATAATTAAAAAAAATATACTCATCGGCTGACCAGGCAGTATATCGCTTGAAGGGACAAATAATTTATGTATTTTACCGGTCTGAATTTCTTCCATTTTCAACAAGAAAACTTAATTAGTAATAATCTTCTTCAAAAAAACAATTGTATGTATTTTTTATGTCATGGGTATTTTAGTAGGATCCCTGTGAATATGCGGTATTATGGTATGTGTTGGATTGAATGGTGATGAATGAGTTCTTGTGGTGTATGAGTAAAATGTAATGAATGAATTAGTCATGAATCAGATTAACTTGGTGTAGGATAGTCAGTGACGACCAACATTTCCATATCCTCGTTTGGCTTTGTATCACATGAAATATTCCAAATTAAAAACAATCTTCTTTTGTGTGTCATGTCCTTTCAGGATTTGATCATGATTCTCCTATTCTTTGTAGTTTTAACTTATTTTTCTCACCTTAACCTTCCTCTTGTCTCAAAAATGTATTGCTCGATTTTTTTCTAATCATTTATTGATGGCAACTTTTTATTTTTACTATGAAAAGGTGTTGCTGATAATTTTTAATGTATTTTTTATAGATTCACGTTTTGTCCCCAGTTTGGGAGATCACTATTTGCCCATAGCTGGGACCCTAACAGGTGCTATCACCATGGGTCAGGGTGGATCTAGGAACAACAGCATTTAAGAGGTGGTTCCACGTTCTTCAAAGCTTCCTGACAAGAGGCCTTGCTGTACGTAGCTTATCGTCATACTCAGGACGTACTTTTGATAAAGTTCTTCAATGATTGAAGGAAATCTACAGAATCCAATAACTGCTGGATTTTTCGCTACGTTGTATGAAATATAAACGGACGAGGACTATTAAAAATGCGGATAATCTAAAAAAAATTCTCTTTGCATAACATCATTTTAGAATAGTAAGGAGTTTTAAAAAAAGCAGCTTGTGTAATTATTGGACAATGTATTTGAAATATTTAAAGATAGATTTATGAGTACAAAATTTACTTGAAATATATTCTAAAGAGGCAATAGAAAAAAGACATACACACCGAGATATTCATGCCCCACACCGCACCAAATATGCAGAAAATAATAAAATTATTATATAATAAATTTCATAATTTCTGGAAAAGCTGCTTGAAGCAAATTTCAAGTTTTTCGCTGTTTTTTTCCCGTTTTTCTTATTTCTTTTCAACGTTTGAAAGTTTTAGCATTACATTATTTGACAGATAGGTACGGTTTCATATAGAACCAAACTTACAAAGCTTTTGTTTTGAATACATGTTTTCTTTCTGTTACGTATAAGTCACGAAAGAGACAAAGGTTTAATTCAAGACGAACACACATTTCCGCACGAAATATGGCCATCGTAACAAAAGTTTTTCTTCACATTGAAATAGGCATTGTAAAACTAGGGCTTGTGTAGGAAAAATACAAACTTTACAAGAATCATGTATTAAATAATGAACTGATATACATATTAATTATCTTTCATTTTTGATCCAATGTTTCAGGAGGGCTAACCTCTCAAAAATAATCTTTTGTGGGGGGAGGGCTTTATGTTGTTTTATTGTATTTAACTTGGGTACATATCTCTGTTTTCTGAAATATAAAAGGTATATAAAGCAGCAAAATTATTTCAAAATCTTTCTTGATTTACATCTCTCCATCGTTTGTAGACCGATTGCTTTTACTTCATAACAAGAGAGAAATGAAACATTTATTTTATATGAAAAAAGATGAATAATATCGAACTCTGAAGTTACCGTGAGGGATTTTAGCATAATAATGCAAGGTTATGACCGACATTGAGTTTCAAACTATTGTTTAGTGTGGATCAAAGAATTTTCGGTCACGAAATCGTAAATAATACCCTTTGTGCGAGGTCAATAGATATTCATCGGGTTAAGATTATTTTTTGAAAAAAAATGTGGTTTACCATTTGAGTAAATTGCGATTCATCCACCGAAACATACTTGTATAATAGGACCCAAGTCAATTGTCAACCCAAATTTACACTTTTCCGCAGTTGACCAAATCAGAAACATTTTCGTGTAAATAACTTTTAATTAAAGTAAAAGTAAAGGCGTAAAACATAAAAAGACGGAGACGTCTTCTGAAATTATAGTATTTCGAAAATTTAAAAAAAAAAAATGAATCAATTTAAGTGTTCAAAAGGTTAGAACTATCAGATTCTGACGGGAAAAGATCAAATAAAAAAAAGTTTATTTCATTGATAACAAGCAAATATTCTTTAATTGATTTGATTTTTATATTTAGTCTGCCTAATTCAAATATATATATCGCAAATAAGAGATCTGCATTTCTTATGTCATGAGTTGAGCATCCGGTGTATCGTGAAATAGCACCGACATCAATATATTGGGCGAAATGTCGCAGACGATCCTCAGCCAACTACAATCGTCAGCCACCGACGATCCTCAGCCAACTACAATCGTCAGCCACCGACGATCCTCATCCAACGACAATCGTCACCCACCGACGATCCTCAGCCAACTACAATCGTCAGCCACCGACGATCCTCATCCAAAGACAATCGTCAGCCACCGACGATCCTCAGCCAACTACAATCGTCAGCCACCGACGATCCTCAGTCAACGACGATCCTCAGCCACCGACGATCCTCAGCCAACGACAATCGTCAGCCACCGACGAACCTCAGCCAAATACAATTGTCAGCCAACGACAATCGTCAGTCAACGACGATCCTCAGTCAACGACGTTCCTCAGCCAACGACAATCGTCAGCCACCGACGATCCTCAGCCAACTACAATCGTCAGCCAACGACAATCTTCAGCTATCGATAGCTAAAAAGGTTAATTAGATATAATCAAATATGGCGTATTGTTTTATTTATTGCCTATTAAAATAAATATTAACTTTATAAAAGATCAACGTTATTGTCTAATTTCTCTCTTTCTATTTAAAAAAATGATTTTTTTCTTAATAGAAAAAAGAGGGAAATCTTTAAATATCTTATATTTAATTAAGTTTTCGTAATAGATATTTTGGGCATATATATATATATATATATATATATATATATATATATATATATATATATATATATATATATATATATATATATATTTATTTATTTAAAATAAATACGCTTAAATTCACCTTCATCCTGCCGTGTGCCAACGGCTTAGTAGGAAAATCGCCAATTCAGTCGGGTTTCGATCCTAGCTAGAGACAACTGGACGTCTAGCCACATAGAAACATTCTGTCTGTGGATGAGAATATATTCTCCTGAAAAATTTATTTCAGTTGAGCTCTATTGGGGGAAGTGTGGGTTTGTAAACTGACTATTACGGCTAATAATGCAAGAGTCTTCGGTAAATCGAATCGAGTTCTCTCAGTCACTTTGTGTTTATCTAAAAATAAATATGCTTAAATGCACCTACATTCCTGCCGTGCGCCAACGGCTTAATGGTAGAATCCCCGACTGACGCCAATTCAGTCGGGGATTCTACCATTAAGCCGTTTCGATTCTAGCTACAGGCAACCGGACGTCTAGCCACACTGATGAGCTGTGATACAGCGAAACAATCTGTCTGTGGATAACAATATATGCCCCCAAATTGTCTTAATATGTGCATTGAGTACTTTTTCATACTGTCGTTTCCTGGTGTAATTCAACTCTGACCAAGTTCTCCATTTATATATCGTCTGCAGGTGTTTTGCAAACCTTTAAACAGTTGGAATTGGAGTTGGATCATTTGGATTTAGTGGCTGATGGTCAATTGCCACATGTTTTCACGAGTGGAGAGCAAGATCTTGTTTATTACATGAGACAAAGCCACAGTGCTAGGTAAGGCTATCATTGAGAACAACAGCATACTGCCAAATTGCAATATATATATATATATATATATATATATATATATATATATATATATATATTGTTGGCTATTTCTCTATTATCTTCGGGTAAACGAGGTCAAATTGCAACTATAAAAATTGTAGTCTTTTTATAATTCTCTTGTAAGTATAAACATCTATGCTTGAAAGAAACCTCCAACATACTTGGAAGAGTCTCTTATATGCACGATGGCATTTAAATATGGCGAAAGTGGAAGCAATTGCAGTATCTGGAAGTGAGCTGTTACGTGTCGTCAGTGCATGGTTTTCCAATAAAGTAACGCTAGAAATCATCTCCGCCGAGAAACATGACGAACAAAAACAGAGATGTAAATAGATTGCAGCAAGATCGTCATACCCAGGGCGAAAAGGGGTTGTGATCTAGTGACAAAATTACCACCTGTAGATTATCAACCCTGACCTAATACGGATAAACCTTGGTCTAGTTTGCATGTTGATTACACCGACAGTTTTTCAAAATGACCTACTTCCATTGTAACTAAATTTTCTTCATGAATTGTTTCCAAGATTTGGAGTTCCAGATATTATAGTGTCTGAATAAGCACGCAATTTACTTCGAGTGTCTTGCAGTTTTTGTTTTTTTTTGCTGTTGAACATATAACAATACCACCATACAGCCCAGGATCAAATGGTCAGGCTGAACTTTTTGTCGATAACGTCCAAAAGGGCGTTAAAGTAATCGAACTTGGAAGAGAAGGATAATCCAGCTGTTTTAAGAATTTATAAACTGACCCCTAACTCTAATACTGCATCGGGGGAGGGGGTCACCTGCGGAACTAATATTTGTCAGGAAAATTAAATCGGTTTCCCACAAATTACCACCTGGAAGAAAAATAAAACTTTGACATCGTACGAAATTAACTATATAATATTTTAAAGCCGGAGATAAGGTTTTCTTCAAGGTTTTCAAGGCAGAAAAGGAAAGTTGGGGGAGATGGCGAAATAGTAAATCACATTGGAAGGATGTTGTATATGATACAAAGTCGAAATTAGCGACTTAAAAGGCATTTAATCTAATTAAAAGCAATATATGCCAAGGAAATAAAAATCCAACAAACTAAATTGACTGATGGACTTTTGAAATGAAATCTTTCTTGCATAGTTCACAGTTTTTAGATCTTCCGCCCTCGCAGGCATACGCTTTCCTTAAAATTCGACATTTCACCACTGTCGCGGTATCTTCCCAATTTGATCTTGACTTGACTAATATATATTTATGAGTATTTTTAAATTGAAAAATTCTGAAAAGCTAACAACATTTTTACTTCCGTTTATAAATACTTGTAAAATAAAATCATTACATTTGCCTTGATTTCAGATGACGAAATGCATCGGCTAATATATATATATATATGAAAAAATTTTCTGAGTTAACCTGTAGAAAAAGACAATATGCATAAAGGTAAATGACAATAGGAAAACTATTATCAGCCGACGTGTTTCGTCCAACGTGGACTTTTTCAAGGCAAAAATCGAAATGAATATGAATTTAGAAAAAGCTATTGTATTCATATTGTCAATATATTGAAGAAACAAACAGAAATTAAAAAAGAAAAAACAAACAGAAAACAAACAAAGAAATAACTCATCTCCGAGCACAAAAGAGACCTCACAAAAAACAACTTAACTAATGCACTAGTCATACATAAAAATAACGTCAACTACAATTTTGTCTTTAAAAATGCCACACTCATAAAAAAAGAAAATATCTAACTCAGAAGGAACATACTTGATAGTGCCGCCATTGAATATTATCCAAATATTAATCTACGCCCAGGCCTTTTCCCTATTTAACCTTTCCTAACAGAATTACTACTCTCCCAAGCAAACGTACACAACTGTATGAAGAAATCAAATGAAAATGTTTGAATCCGTCAATACCCTGTTAAGGCAGTGGAGAACTTGGAGAGGGAAATTAACAGGAGATAACTGATAACTAACATCCATTAAACATGGCACGTGGAACTAGAAGAGTCTACCCCAGTGAGCGAAATAAAAGGTTCAGTTCAACATTCCAACCACCTGAAGAATACCGGAGCGCACAACGGCTGAAACGTTGTAATAAATATGGCGACAAAGATGAGGACAATAGTCCGAATAATGTAAATAGTGTACATAATACCTTATCTCAGAAATATAGACAAATGCAAAACGGTTGACAATTTGTTGACCGTTTATTAGAACGTGAAAAAAATTATCCATTATGGAATATTTTCTTCTATGTTATAATGTCATGGTCACGCACACATTAAAGCGAGAAAAAACTGTTCCTTTACAGGCATTTCACAACATTACTGCAGAATTCATAATTTATTCTGTTTAGTGTTGGCTTTAATTTTTTTTAATATGAATTGCTTCTAGTATTCTAACTAATTTAGTTGTTTTCATGGTGTAGTATAGTTGTGTCGTCGATTAGTAATTGCTTATAATACGAATGCGGACAGGAATATTATCGTAGATGTCTCGTAATAGACGTGGGGTGTAAGCCTTCTTGTTAGTGTATTTGTCGTATACCCAACACACACACACACACATATATATATATATATATTTATATATTGTTTTTTCTGTCGGAGATACATTCTCCCAAGGGACATTTAAATTGGTGCATAATGTTGGTTTTACGTAATACATCAGTTAGTAAGGAGGAGTTATTGCGGATAATTAAATTTGTTGTATTGTATAATATAATACTAAATAATAACACCTATTGATATACCTAAAAAATATGTCATGGTGAGTAAAATTTTGGGAATAAGTCCGGTTAAGAGATAATTAGAGCAATAATAATTATACATTATGTTCAGATAAGTATTGTGTCCATTTTATTTATTGGTAATCTATCTATCTATCTATCTATCTATCTATCTATCTATCTATCTATCTACGAAGGTCGATCTGAAGGTATGCCTTCAATTCTATGATGTTAGCCTATGATATGTGCGTATTAGTGATATGGAGACAATAATACGATAATAATAATCAGCTTTGCAAAATATGAAAGAACATTGTCCTGCATGAATATACTCTTTTTCTTTAAAACTTTTTAGTTGTGATCTTTACCACGCCCAAAATATATGATCTATAAACTTAAAATAATTATTTATATTTATCATGATATAATCATCGAAATTGAAGTGAGCTACAATAAATATTACTCCATTTCCGTTCTAACTCATGTTGGTTGATTATTTCCGTGAAACACAAAAATGTCTAACACAGACAGCTCTACATTCATCACATGCTTTGACAATACAGTTTTCATGTACTTTTCGCATACATATTTTATTTTATGATGTTTATTTAAAGATTTTAGTTTTTTTTTCAATGTTCTTAATATGTTTTCCCTATTTATATTTACAACGCTAGATTATTCAAATATTTTATTTGCTTGTCTATCCACTTCGGAAAACAAATTTCTCGGATCGCATTTTGTGAGCTACTTGTTTTTGTCTATCGGCAGAATACAGCGGCCATGTTCATTGTTTGATTATATGAGTCTACCCCTTCACTTTCATGTTATTGTAAATTTTTATCTATTTTTTGTTAAAAAATGGGTGTATTATGAGGTAAATATTCGCATTGAATAGAGAAAGATAAGTTCTTATGTTATTTGTTAGAGTAAATGGGTTGTAAATCAAATTAGCCCCATTTTGGCCTTGTATCATTGATTAAATAAAAATCTTTTTGTGACATTCTTATAGTCATTTTCTTATTCTTATTATGTTGCCGATGTTTTCAATTTCAATTTTCGATTATTCTGTGATCTCTTTTCAAACTTTTCACAACCTTTTATTCTCTCTAGTTAATAACTTCAAAATATATTCTTTCTCTTTTGAGGGTATATCTTTTTATAGCCCATGACAATCTTTGCATATCTGAAATTAAAGAATAATTTCTATAATTATAATATATTTATTTACGATATGATGAACAACGCTCATGTTGGTTAATAAAATCTCATATAAATTACTGTAAATATTTCTAATAAAAACAGATATAATAAACTAAAACTATTATTGTATATTTATCGTATAAATAGATCCTGAAAATGTTATCAACATGGAACGGGTAATATGAATTTTATTGCGAAAAAGGGTGTTTCATTAAGACGGATCAAAGTCAGCAGTAAATAAATCAGTGTTATTGGTGTAAATTTATTTATTTCTCTATTGGATCATGGAAACTGTGTAAAAAAATAATATCGCCCGACAAACCTGAAAGAAAAAAAAATCATTAGACGCTTAAACTTAATTCAAATTTAAAATAGGTCCAAGTTATTGGAACAGCCTTTAAAATCAAATCTGTCATGGCGGACATTAACATACAACGGGGTGATGAAAAGAATTGCATCTACCAAAAGTTTGATGTTTGGTCAGATATGGCAAAGTAAATGAAAAACAAACCAACTTTTCAGCACCTCCTTTTATATTGCGTGTGTGAATGTGAATGTTATTTTGTCTATATGAACTGGATATGTCCGTATACCTATTTGCTTCTTAAAGAATATACTGCAATTCTTGGTGACTTTTTATAAGTCAGTATAAAACATTTGGCAGCTACAAAATATGTTGACTTTCATTCCAAGAAGAGAATATATTGCAATCATGACCGAAATGTATAAATGCATTATAAAATGTATAGAAATATATTTTATTGATATGAAGATGTACTCTTTACAAGTACACGGATTGTGAAAATGTGAGAAATAATGCAAACACACGTATATATATATATATATATATATATATATATATATAGGTGTAATATGAAGTGTCAAAATAATAATGACTGATGTTTTGGACTCCAGTAATATACATATTTTCACAGTTACTTTTATCTTTCGCCACACGTGAATCAAATCATCCAAGTAAATAGGAGTGTTAACTATACACACGACACACGGACACATTGGCTGCGGCACAATGGGATTCATCTTTTCGGGGAAGCAGCTCACGTAGTTGTCGCTGAAGACTCCGCTGACATCCAAACACATTTCAAGAGGCGAATGCGATATTAGAAAGCGAGCTGTCACTCACAATCAATGGCTATATCTGCCTGGAAGTCTACACGTGACTGTGCGGTTAAAACCAGCTCTCGTTTACCCGTAGGGTTGGCCAGTGTCTCCAAATGGCGTGGTCTTTAGTAAAATCTCCATGGATATCTACCCCGTTTTCATACCCACAGTCTTTTTAGATCTCAGCCAAATCATCCATAGCATGATTTGTAACCTTCTCAATTTCTGCTTTGTAACTGAATTCCTTCCTCTTTGCGTTTTTGTTCTTCCTTTGTTTGTAGTCCAACCCTCCTTCAGAGCAGTGAGCAAACTCTACCTACAAGTATTTTCGCATATAAGTTTACATTGCAGTAAGAAAATATTGTTCATTTTTAAGCTTGAAAATGCTAATTTACTTAGCACTTATCTTAGGAATTTTTAAAGAATTTTTGAGACATAGGCGATTATAACTCTCCACAGCTTCCGTTTTTAATATCTGTCAATTGGCATGGCTTCTTGGGAAATATAGTAGACTGGTTTTTGATTGCCTTCTTGACGAATTAGTCGCATTCCTTCTTCTAGACTGGTTGCCAACCACGTCTAGAGTGCAAAGTTTACCCTGCTATTGAATTCATATAAGAAGATAGGAATAGATGGATTATTGACTTTCCGAAAGACGTAAATTCACAAATAAACGAAATGCACTAAACCAGAGTTTGAACTGGGTCCGCTCATTTCACTTTCCGATAATCCTTACGCTAGTCACACATCGGCAAATTGCAGGACGTGAAAAAAAATGACAGTTATCACATATAGATTTTTTACATAAAAACACTTAAAACTATTTGTCGTTTAAACACGTTTTCAGGATTTTACGTAGATTTTTCAAATATTTATTTTCTAACATTGCAATCATTATCATAAAAACAAAGAAGGATTCGCTTATAAAGAATGAAATTGTCGTTTTACTATTCAATTAAAATTTAAAAAACTTTAGTGCAAAACACTTTGAGGTTGCTTCTTGGAGAAGAAAATCAGCGTCTTGAAAAGAAATAAAAGAAATTAAGTTTGAATAGAGCTGAAAAATGAAAGGTGAAGAATGAACTACTTTTACCAAATTGACACACCAGTCTACTGTTTAGCTTGAGAGCTGACGTTGCTATATCCTTTGTTATTTATGACTGATGGAAGCAATCAATCTATTCTAGATGACGATAAAAAGATACAATTCATATAAAGCGTCAAGGTAGCGTTATTGCAAATTCTTGCTTAACAAACTAAGAAAATATCCAACTTGCTTTTACCAAAACGGAAAATTGATTCTTAATTTTATGGAGGAAAGCCGTTCAAACAACAACAAAAACAGTAAGAGACTTCAGTCAAAGCAATATAATGCAAAATGTTTCGGTCCTTTTGCAGAACGATGTTTAGAAAGGTAATTTTAAATCATTATCCTCATATCAGTGCTTAGGTTGGAAGACAGAAGCTAGCAATTGATATTGCATTTAAATTTTTATTTATTTTTTATTTAAGATTGTAGGTGGCAGGAACGCAAAAACTCAGAATTGTGTTCCACTGGCAAAAAGTGTGAAAATAGAACTTACGGTTATATTTAAATCTAGTAGCACACTTAAAGAGCAGCAACCATGAAAATATTTATAAAAAAGATAGAAGGAAGCCATGCCACGGTAGTAGGAATGTGACTGAAATCAAGATGCCAGGTCAAGACCGATTACATTGCAGATCTTTTTCATTATTTTGTTGAGAATTTCAAGATATATAGAAGGGTACCAGACTAGATTTCTTTTTGCTAATGTTCACCCAATACAAAAAGCAAGAGCTACTCAAGGTAGAGTGTTACTGCGTTGAGTTGTAATAGTGTAAGAAAGGGCAAGAAGTGAAATTCAAGAAAGGTAACAGCTAATTCTAGGATTGAAGATGTCAAGATTTAATTACTGAATAATTAGAGAAAGAGAGTAGAAGTAGACTTTAAAAGGAACAGGAAACCAAATCTTAAACAGGAAACAAGAAATAAACCTCTACTCCAGTTCAAAAGACAGAAGAGGAGTGTGAAAAGGACGATAGGCAAACCTATTTACTATATATATATATATATATATATATATATATATATATATATATATATAGAGAGAGAGAGAGAGAGAGAGAGAGAGAGATGCAGCAATAGTTGTGGATTAAAATGAATTTTTCAAAAGATAGTGGAATATTTTCCTATTGACTTCTCCACGGTTTGAATTTCAGAATTTTTCTTCTCAGACTGGATTCTACCCAAAATTGAACGCAACAGACTCAGCCAGAGTTTGAACTCAGTTTGCTGATTCCACTTTTCATGCAGATATCAGTTACGCTATGAGCACATATCGTATCATACAGTGCATATGTAATAAATATTTATCTTTAACTATATAACTTTATTCTCTCACAAACTATGATATGCTTTGAGTGAATCAAGGTAAAAACAAATACCATACAAACAGAAGTGAAATGAAAAAAATCTACAGTAAGGAAAAGAACAAATCAATTTATGAGAGAATGGCAAAAAATCAGAAAGAACATAATAATAAAAGAATTTTTCTTTGGCTAATGGTGTCAGGACAAATTTAAATAATTTTAATGTCATATTTCTTTATGTTGGCCTGGCGTCAGAGAACAGTAACTTGATTTTGAAGCAAATGCCCGTGATATCCATACTCAGTCCTCTTCTTTTGTTGGTCTTGTGTCAGATCAGATTAAAGCAGTTTTAAAGCAATTATTCGTTATTTATTCGGGGGAGCTCGAAGTTAATTTTTGGAGTCAACGAACAGCTGCTGCATGAAACCAGGCTCCCCCACCCGGTCTTGAAATAAAAAAAAACGTCATAGAAGAAATTTGACAACTACCAGACGAG